TTCAATTAAATGTTATTGTAAAAAAATTAGTAATGTGATCACTAGTAAAAATGATCGATGTTCACCCTACCCTTAATGTATCGTCACTCGGACAATGTCCGAGTGAAATATCTCAGACTCGGACATACTCGGATTTAGACATTTTCGGATATGTTCATGTGAAACCATATGGGGTGTTGTCTATTAAAACAGCCCTTTTTTATATATAATTTATTTTGAGATAATTGAGTTTAATCATTTGTTTTGATTTTCAAACTAATCCAGGATTAATTTAATTTCTGATTTTGATTGATTAAATTTAACAAGTGACTATCAGGCAATCTTATGATGTGTTGGTCTTACATGTCTCTGTGAAATTTTTCTTTTACAATTATCTTGATTTTTTATTATACAAATCGACTTTTATTTATAATTGAAAAATATTGATCATGTCAAAATTTATATAAATTTAATGAAAACTCATTTTTCAAAAAAGTGCTATTTTAATAGACAACACCCCATATAATTGCGAAGACAAAGTTCTAGTTAAAAAATTTCAAATTTGAAAATTTTCTATATTTTGTTATTGAACTTTGAACATGTTTATAAACTTTGAACTGAATCTAAACTGAACATGAACTTGACTTAAAAGTTCAATACTGAACTAAACTGAATATGAACCTCATTTAAAAGTTCAATATTGAACATAATTGAACTAAACCTGAACCTGAACTTGACCAAAGTTCAGTTTCAGTTCGGTTCATAGAAACACTACTGGCCAGGAACTTTTTATTAAGTAGATTACAACTTATATAATTATAATAATGGTACATCAAGCCACATGTGTACTTTTTGAATGTCTAATTTAAGTAGTCTGCCCAAAGGTTCTACACTATTTGCCGTACCTGCACCCCAACTAGGAGGGTACCTATTTAAACTATCTGGTTACAACCATTCAGTGGTTTCTATCTAACCAAGACATAACTCACTATTTAGAAGTAGATTTTGTGACACCTATAAATTTTGCACCCACCTTAGGACTTACTAAACTCTATATTGAGTCTAGTCTATTCATGAGGTAAACCTAACAGAGTAGTCCATGTCCCACATATGTTTTTATCTGCATGTTTGGTAACTTCTTCCTAACTAGTACCTGTTGTACTGCCACCACCAGGTTTGTATCTCAAGCCAACTTTGGGGTGATCCGTATCTTAAGCACAACCTTCCTAATTAGTTACCAATTACGTACTTCTGCTCTTATAAGGTTTACAACAACCCCAATACCCGCATTCTAGCTATCTTCTTACCCAGATTTTTTATTAGTCCCTCCCTTACTTCCAGCCAGCAACTCGGATGGGTTGGTCTGCCCAGGCTTTAGGTACCTGAAGGACACCCTCCTCTTGGTTCATACTTTTGGAGTGTATATCTTTTTCCTCTAGTGCAACAACTCGGCAGTTTAGCTGGTGTGTTCTCTGCTAGCAAACTTGGTTGTTTAGTTCTCTGATCTCAGGCCCTGGTTCGAATTCAGCCTTTCTGTGATACCATTAAAGATTCCTGCTACTCCCAATTCAAGACTTCCCAAATGGGTTTTTGGTTATGCCAGTTCCTCAGATTTATTGCACCAAAGCTTCCATTACGAGATGGTGTGACCGAAGTTACAGATTAATTCTAGATCCAACCGATAAGCATAGCTATCAACCGAACACAGGTCTATTTTTCAAATATTATCACCAGTGGGATTTGAACTCTAAACCTGCCACTTGGAGAAAGTAATGACTAGACCACTATACTAAGTTACCACACCTTTAAATTATTTCTATTTATTTTAGATATTATACTATATATTAATAAAATATAAAATTGTGATATAATTGTCAAAAAAAAAAATATATATTAAATTTAGTAAGATAATTGCTAAGATATTTAAGCTTAAAGTCAAAAAAACTTTTAAAAAAAATTTGCCTCTTCTATTAACTTCACCCCATATATATAGTAAAAATACATTATCTATTATAATATAACTTTATAGTTAACTAAATCAAGCTATTTTATTAAAAATTAGTTTATAAATTTTAATATACAAATTATAACTATAAATAACTTGTAATAAAACATTTTGTATAAATTTTAAATAAAATTGTTTGTATTAAGACAACAAAATTTATTATTGCAAAAAAAATAGGTTTAACCTAAAACCAATCTAGTAACTTTTTAATAGTAAAGAACAATACAAGAATATTTACGCGTGGAAAGTAGTATGAAGAGAGGTACACACAATAATATAATAATATAAATAGCTAGAAAAGAAGACAATTTTTCAACAATTGCATTCATTTACTATAATAATTCAATTGTCTTCAGTTTGGTCATTATTCTATCCAAATACTACATTAACAGCAGCATTAGATAATTCTGCTTCATCTACAGTTTGTTCAACTTGATTAATCAAATTATTTCTATGATAAACCAACTAAAAAGTAATAAAAAAAATCATATATTGTTATATCTTAAAATACTATAATTAGATGGATTTTGAAGATTAACATGTACATACTTCAAATGGCTTTTCTTGTGCTTCAGGGACCGACACCTTAACGAATTCGAATAAGTATCGCACAGGGTCGGATCTATCAAAACGTCGCATAATGTTCTTTCCGTCTTAAAATAATAAATATTAATTAATATTAATTTAATAAACATTAAGTTATACGAAAGCAACGCTTAAAGAGCCAATATGTCGAACCTGGAAGACGGAATTTTATCGCCGTCGTACTTGGACCGGCGGCTTCAACTCTTTCAACAGGACGGATTGAATCAAACGTTGAACTAACTGAACTCTCAGTTGCTAAAATAATAATAATAATAATAATAATCAGCGAAGATCGCTAACATAAACTGAGTCGAATATTAATCCACAATAAATTCTTAATTACCGATATTTGTTTCTTTTTCAGGATACTCAGGTTCTACTTCCATTGTTTCATCTTCTTCAGATTCTTGGTCAACTTTGTTATTATAAAAACGTGATTCATTCAAAGCTGCCATTAATTGTTCTTCCTCGGACATATCCGTGTACGACTGGAATGTTTTGTTGATACAAATGCGTATTAAAAATAATCAAACTATCGTTGAAATTAAGAAATAAATTTATTATTACTTTAGCGGATTTTGATTTTTGTGGCAATGGATTTTTTGAATAATCATTTAAAGAATAACGCTCCAGAAAATCGGTAACTATCAATTAATAAGGAATTAAACATAAAGCGACGCGTCAGAATAATAAATTTCCATATAAAAGAGAACAAACCATTCATTATAAACTCAGTAGGTTCCACCGTCGTAGTATTCCATACTTTCAATCTTTCACCTATAAAGATTGGTAGATTTAGACATGGGAATAGGAAAATCCAGTATTTATATTGAACAAACCTGTTAACGGATCAATTATTGCTATATGTGGGTAGCTTTCAATAGGATAAAAATTTATATATTGACGTCCATCGGGGGTATCTGCATTAAACTAAATAACGTATATAAAAATTTAGAACTCAATTAATTACAATAAATGTCATACTTATCAGATTTAAACTGACTTACTTGCAAGAATAAAAAATGTTGTCTGATCACATCTTGAACGGTTTGATTACTCCATAAATCACGATTGAGTACTTGACAAGCAAATTCTGTTATTTCCTGAATATCAACCATAAGCCATTTGTTTTCCTCCCGAGCTTTCGTACGTGTCTATAATGATCGCGGTATCAGATTAATTATCAAAGTATACATAAATTAAGCAAACTATCAAATAATTATTTAGGTTATGATCAAAAACAATAGCAACATCTACCCTCTCAAAGCTGTCCTTGTGCATAATTTCGAAAGGAGGCTTAAATAAGTTAGCCAACCGATCTGTCTTTTCTTCACTGGAGCCTAATAATTTGACAACGATTAAATATCAAACATATTAAATACTAAAATATACAATACTGACTTGTACTAGGATCGCCAGGACTAATGTCGCCGGCAAATGTTCTATAAACGTCGCGTGTACGCCGAGTACGTGGTATACCAGGTATAAATCGGTCTAATAAACGGTATATAAAAAACCAAAAATAATTGTTTCAACTCGTTTAAAAAGACATTCATAAAATCAAATATCTTATAGGATGCGGATCGGGTTGATAAATGACACGATCGCTTGTTGAATATACCTTCAAAAAGGTTGTTAAAGTCATCGTGGTCACCTCTAACAAGAATGTCGCGTTTGGGCGCGATAGGGGCTCGGATTTCGGAATAATCTTCCTGAGCAAGCTGTTTTGCTAACTCTGCATCACTGTCAAAAGTATCATTGCTTGTCAAATCGACTGCGTCAATAGCCGTTGAAGTTTCTTGTCGATTGCTTCCTGCTCCGAGAGCAGAAAGATCAGCACCACCGCTTTCTAGATAAAGAGTAATTGCCTGTTCAACATTTCCATCCGACACCTATTAATTAGTACAAAGTTAAGCTTTTTTTTTATAAATAAACTTTTTTTTGTTTAAAATAACGACAAAAAAAATAAAAGTATTGGACGGATGCGAATGTTAACAAAGAAAATTTAGAATATGAAGTACCGCCAAGTAGTCTATTGCAATTTTCTGAGTCGCGTTTGTGACATTACAAAATTTTGTTATTAACTCTTCGTCATTAATTTCGGCCATCCTATCAATTGTTCTATGGTATATTATTCGGAGCTTGAGCTTACGAGCGAGAATTTGCTTCTCTCAATAGTACATGCTTTTATCTTTTTATGGATAGTGTACGTAATTGGGTTGTACGTCATATAGAGTCCGGATAAAATTTGACGGGCATCCGGACGTACGTACGTACGTACGTAATGTGCGTAACGTGACAAACATCGCTAGTAGTGGTGTAACCAAACTGTTTCGACATTTAACCATATGGGCTGATTTACAGAATTGCCAATAACTTTTGATATACTGATCCATTTTGAATAATTTTATTACCAAAATGTTGGTCTCAATGAGACGGTTCTAATAAATACAAAATCGCCAAAATTCAATCACAGGGTCCCAAGATAATTAAGATTTTGTATGATTTTACTATTAACTTTTATTATGTAAACAATCATTTAATTTTTTTTTTTTTTGGCAATCCTGCCTTTATTGTACAAGGAATACATAATTAAAATACATAGGTTTTTAGCTACTGTCTTTAACCCTCTCTTTTCTTCAATAAAAGTTCACCTGGCTGCTCAAAGGCAGCAACTCTTTTTCTCACTTTTGTTTTTCAACTTGCTAAAAGATTTTTTATCAGATCCTTGGATAATAGTTGCTAGCCTTGTCAAGATTACAATTACATTTTGGATTTTGGTGGTCTGTAAAGGCCTAACCATTTTGGTTTAATATTTGACATAATTAAACTTTTTATTTCTTCTTCTACCTTGTCTCATACTTTTTGATCTACTTTGTTTAAAGAGCTTTTTTTTTCTTTTTTTTCTTTGGCTTTATATTTTTTTTTTAATCTTTTATATGTAGATTTGTCATTTTCAGTTTTTTTCCTTGTTTGAAATCTCTTTACTCTGCTCCTATTTATTTATAGCCTCATATCTTAGCTACCAGATTATCTTTCAAAAAAGCTTTCATAACTTGCAATAATATCTTTTATGTAGCTCACTTTGTTTTCTATTTTCACTTTTAAGCTTCTAGAAGATACCTCTAATACAATTAACTTTATTTTGATATTTTTTTTTTTGTAAGTCTCTAATTATTTTCTCTCTTTTGCTGCTATATAAATTATTGTCATTCTTCTTACTTTCTTTTTTGTTTTTTCTTTTCTTTATTTTAACTTTTTCAAAAGCTTTGTTTTCTATTTTTTTTTATAAGGTCTTCTATATTGATTCTATATCAATATCCTGAAAATCAAAATCCTGAAGATACTAAATTCTGATACATTAAATCTTTAAAGAATAAAATCTTGAAAATATAATATTCTAAAAATTTAAATTCTGAAAAAAAATATACTGAAAGAATACAATTCTGAAAAATTATCCCTTAAATTGTTTTGCAGCCAAATTTGCTTGCAAACTTTTTTAAATTTTAAAATTTTTTAATAAAATTTTA